TGGAATCTATTCGCCTTTCATTTTGAACAAGATCAATTTTCGTTCGTTTTTTTAAAAATATTCTTGGAACATGAGATAAAGGTCATTTGGATTCCATAGGATACTGCCACGTCATGGATTACTAGGCGAAAAATAGAAAACGTTTTGAATGATGCAAACAAATATTATATATATATATATATATATATATATATATATGTAAATATATATATATATATACTATAATATATAATTGTGACGATACCGGAAACGTACTCTCACGACAAATAAAAAGAAATAAAGGACGGGGTACGATTCTCTGAATTCCTTCCAGGGAATGACGCTGCTATTGAAGAATATCGAGGACTTTTTGGCAATTGACAGTTTATATTGAAAACACTGTTACATAAATCTTTACCAATACGCAGTGTCGAGGCCTTTTATTAATTTCACATTAACTCTACCTTGAAGACTTCCGATGTTCCACCCGGCGTGGACCGGGTTTGCCGCCGTGGCAACTGGCGACGGCATCGGTCGGCAAACTTCGGTCGCCCCAAAGTTTTCGGAAAACGATTTCGTGCGTCGACTCCGCGGACCTCCCAATGCAATGGCAACGGAACTCCCGATCCACACCCCAGCCAGAAAGCAATGTCACATATAACTACCTTGACAACGGCACAATGGCGTCCGTCGGCGCTTCCGACCAACTGTTCTTCTCAAATCCACTCAACTGTTGCACAGCGGCCGCTGCTGCATCACACCCGGCGACATGGAAGGCGTGTCTGTTTTTATCTGTCATCAAACTCCATATTAATGTTTCATGATCCCGGTCCTGTGCCACTGCCGTTTCTCCTATCATCTAATTATCGATTTTACGCACATCTACTCTCCCACTTAACGGCTACAATCGTTCACCACTGTTGAAATATTACACAACTTTGCTAGGGCAGCACAGTCCATCCGTGGCGCTCGCGCTTCGCCCAACCTCCACCCGCGCTCCGCGTCTCCTGGCGTTACTGCTCAAAAACCGTCACTCCCCACGCCGTCTGCCCCGGTGATCTGACTGGTGGGCACGCGGGCGCGGCTTATTCGCTGATCGATTAGTGTTTTTACTTAGAATTAGTAATCATTTGTTTTATCATGAAACGTTCTTCTTTCAAATATATATATTATATTATATTATATATTATATTATATATATAATATATATATATATATATAGCAACATTTCTAATAAAGGTATATTTAGATATACATTAACAATTTAAATAAATGTTAAAAACGCATATTAAAAGTAATTTTATACAAATTGTTTACATATCTCTATACCTAAAAATATATTATATACTTCTTTGGGTTTAAAATAACTGAGTTAGACTAGATTTATAGCGAAACACATTTAAGAAATTCCGAAAGTTGGGTGTAATTCGTATATTAAACACGATAATAGAAAGTTATTGTTATAACCTACATAATAGATAATTTTGTATACAATGTTTAGCAAATATTCTTTTCTATTATTTTTATTCTATATTGATTACATTAATTGATATGAAGTAAGTTAATTTATAAATTAACACTCTCACTTACATACACACTTTATTTAGCAATTAAATATTTAATTACCCCTCCCCCGGACGCAGCGGTCTCCGGTTTTCTGGAATTGGCAAGGTGGCAACCCTAATTACAAATGAATTTACAAAAAATAATTCGAAGAGAAATTGTGGTGTAAATAGTATTACATAACCGTTACTAATGTCGAGAAATTACGTGCTGCTTTAGCACCGCTAGTTTTTTAAATATTCCTCACTTGGTTGATATTTACTTTGAGAGTGAATATTTACATTTTAACATTATTATACATGATTGCACAATTTATGTAATTTTTAAAAAATCAAAGGAAAAAAACAGAATGTTGTTACTGTAATGATATTCAGTTCCTTTAGCACAACACGTATGTTTAAAGAAAAAAAGTGGATCCCTTACCCAGAAAATTGCGTTTGAGCATTTCTCTTTGAAGTAGTAGTCTTATTCATCAAATTTTTTTTAGGTACTAACACAATAATGTATCAGTGGCAAAAGAATAAATTCTGAATTGTGATATGTTAATTGTGGTTGTTTTCTCCTTCATTAGGAAATCGCCGCGGAGCAGTCTGAGAGACAGGACGGAGGAGCTTCCACTGCCGCCGACCAGGAAAACGAGCTGCCCGCGCCCACCCCGTCAGGATCCATCATCGCAGCAGTCACTGCCGCAGGCCTGCTGCCCACTCAGAGGCGTAAGATCAGCCGAGAGCCTTGGCATGACCAGTACGGGGCCCATCATAAAACTCGGCAATTTATATTTAATTATTAACCTCACTTTTGAGTGGAAAATTATTACAGAAATGTATTACCATTTTGCCATTAATTTGAAAACGTGTCTTGACGACCATGAAGAAGTTAGTTTATTCTGTATGCAAACGATGCAATGTTCAAATATTAATAATTTTGCAATATCTTTAAGAGTACATAGTTATAAAATTGTACTATTTAAACAAATACGAAAAAACAATAAAAGTACCTTTGGCTTCTTTGTTAATTTTTTATCCGAAAGAGATACCAAAATACAGGAATCACTTGGAAAATGGACACTGTATTTTCAATCCAACAAATTGTCGCTTCGACTGATTAATGGTACTACTTAGACATTCGTAGTAGTTTTAAGTTAGCACCTTTGATCGCCATCAGAGTCGTTGGTACTCGATCATAATTTTGATCCACAAATGTCCTCAAACACTTCTCGATAACTCGTACCGTTTCTGAGTTCGGGTGCACTGTTTGAATATGTGAAGTAAAAAGTTGCTCTGGAGGTATAAAAATGATTATTTGTAGAAAATTTTAGAAAAGTACACCGCGAGTCCATCTCAGATTTTGATGCAATTATGTATACCGAGTCCCACATGTCTGAAAGGAAGATCTTTGGAGTTGTGGCTTAAAGGGTGAAATGGTTTTTCGGATACAGCGGTTTGTTTAACACCGTTTTACTGTATGACAATTAATTTTCACAACTTTAGGAAAAAACACTTCATTCTCCTTATCACTAAACAAATGAAACTGAGCTCACTTATACAATTTGTTTTCTGTATTAATTTTAATTAATGTTAATTTTCCATCTATTAATACATAATGGGTAAATTCCAGCAAAATACAACTTCTGTCTTTCTTGGTTCTGCATTGAAGTCCCTTATTTATTGCAAGTAATGGATATACAATGCGTGGGTGAATGGGGGCCCTCACTTTTCGATTCTGCCAGGGTCTCAGAGATTTTAAAACGGTCCTGTCTTCTTAAAACGAATATTCAGACATCATAAAAATTTTGATACAATATAAACACTGCAACTGAGCTTGCTAATTTAAGCGATGTAGATGCAGTTGTCTCTTCCTCTACAAGCAGACGAAGAAAGAAAATCTTGTTCGGTTATGAACATGGCGATGACAGTACAAATGATCAAAATGATCGACATAAAGTATGAACCACATATCCGTGTAGACGACTAGTATTAGCACTACAGTTTTATCTACAGAGGTAAGGTTTCAATTGCTTAAAGAGCAACGTGATGCGCTTTGTATTATTTTATATTATTATTACAAGCCTAATCATCCCTAATATGACAAATGCATCCTCCGTAACTCAGGGATATTGCGTTTTGTATATGACAGTATATATTCTTTTGTATATGACCTCAATAAACTAACAGAATTTAGTAAATCAGACAAAATAAAAAATGTATACATCTATAATTTAAACTGACCGGCGAAACTGGTACAGATAGTCTATAAGATATAAAAGCAATAATATTAGCAGATGAACTACATATAATAAAATTTCTCAAATCAAAATTATCACTAACTGAAGTATTAGAATTCATATATTAATATAAACTATCCGGACCATTCCCTAATATAACCGTGATATTACAAATTTTATTAACCTGCCTCGTACAATAGCCGAAAAAGAACGATCATTTTCAAAATTAAAAATTATCAATGTAGAAACTTCTTACGATCAACCATTTCGCAAAAATTATTAACAGATCTGGCAACAATTTCAATTCAAAGTGACACAATATTTATTTAGAGAGTATAATAACAAAATGTGCAAGTTTGAAAGTTCGAAAAAAGCCTTATTGTATACTGTACATAGATATTATTTAATAAATCTGTAACAACACACCGGTAAATAATATTTTAAACCACTAAAGTTTTCTATTGTTCAAAGTATGAAATTTAATTATCCCTTTCGAAAGCAGCATAATGTGCACCAGGGCCGAAAACCAGTCCGCGACTGCCCAGAATATTCTCAAGTAACATGCTTTATTCCCTTAAGACATTTTGTTACGAAATATAATTTTGTTAACCCTTGCGAAATATTAATATAACCAAACATTTTTAATTTAAATTTTATAAAGGAAGCATTTCATGTAGGCTATCTTGTAGGAGAAAATCATTTTAAAGTAAGATTATTCGCTCTTTGTGTATATCAACACATTTAACAATGTTACACTGAAAAATAACTAACCATTTTCCCACTCATGGCGTTATGTAGTCCAAGATTTAAATTATGAAAAAATTACAAAATAAAGATTTATTTTCGGAGTTTTATTAAGCCACGAAATTACATTTGAACGCAGACATACTTCCTTTCAATATAATTTTCGTCTTTTTTGTTTTTCCCTCATTTAACACATATTTACAGTAAATTAATTAAAAGTTTCACATATTATAAACTTTTTTAAATACATATTCACATACGCTTATGAAAGGCAACAAGCGTTATCGAATTATTGCCTACAATTGCCGCAACAGGTAGTGCTAAGAAAAACACCTAGACGTACATTCGAACAAGCTAAAGTAACTCAACAAATCATTTATTCGATCACGAATTTTTCTTGTGCGTATGACCTAACACTGAAAGTTACTTTTATTATTAACACTCCATATTTTCGAAACCTCAGGTCATGAACCTGTGAGTTCCTAACGGGCTTACGTAGCTGTTCCCACTTCAGGTGCAGAGACAGACGCCACCCTTCCAACAGCACAGCACCGCGAACAGCAGCCTCCGAACTTCTTCCCCGACGCAGACGCATTACGTCGCCTCTACGCCCTGGGCGACAACTTGCCAAGGGCGCTCTACCGAAGGGAAATGCACGGGCTCTGGGACCCGACTCCTCGGCGAGGGCCCTTCGCAAGGCGCATGCCCCGCGGCCCACGCACGACTCCCGACAGCGGCTCCACCCACTTCCCCCGCCCGGCGGATTAAGATGATTAGCTCCCTTACATGGAAGACTGCAAGCCAGAGACAGCTGATTGCTGGTCCCCTAGACTCACCTGCCTGAAAAACAACTCAGTTCCCGCGTCCGTCGGAATGAAGCAATTAGCTTCCTAATATTGCAGACTGCAAGCCAGTCAGCTCATTGAGGGTCCCATAGACCCACCTTATTGAAAAACTCAATTCAGTTCCAGCGTCCGGCGGAATGAAGCAATTAGATTCCTAATATTGACGACTGCAAGCCAGAAACAGCTCATTGCGGGTCCCGCAGACCCACCTGCCTGAAAAACAATTCTGTTCCCGCACCCGATGGAATGAAGAAATTACCTTCCTTATATTGAAGACTGCAAGCCAGTAAGCTCATTGCGGGTGTCATAGACCCACCTGCCTGAAAAACAACTCTGTTCCGATCCTCGGCGGAATGAAGGAATTACCGCCCTTATATTGAAGACAGTAAACCAGAGACAGCTCATTGCTGGCTCCATAGACCCACATGGCTGAAAAGCAAATCAGTTCCTGCGTCCGGCGAAATGAAGCAATTATCCTCCTTATATTGAAGGCTACAAGCCAGTCAGCTCATTGTGTGTCAAATAGACCTACCTGCCTTAAAAACACAATTCAGTTCCCGCGCCCGGCGGAAAGATGCATTATCTCCTTATATGAAGCTTACAACCATCAGCTCATTGCTTCAAATAGACCTACTCCTTAAAAAACACTCATTCCCGCCTCCGGCGGGAAGGGTTAGAAAATTATCCTCCTTATATTATCTGGGGACAGCCAGTAAAGGCTCATTCGGTGCCATAGCCCACCTGCTTGAAAACTCATGTTCCCGCCGGCCGGAATGAACAATTACTTTCTTTATATTGAAACGCAATCCTTTAAGCTCATTGCGGTGCCAAGACCACCTGTTTGAAAATCTAATTCGTTCTCCGTGCCGCGCGGAATGAAGCAATGTCTTATATTGAAGACTGCAAGCCTTTAAGCTCATTGCGGGTGCCATAGACCCACCTGTTTGACAAACTCAATTCAGTTCCCGTGCCCGGCGGAATGAAGCAATTAGCTTATATTGCAATATATAGCAATTAGCTTATATTGAAGACTGCAAGCCAGTCAGCTCATTGCGGGTCCCATAGACCCACCTGTTTGAAAAACTCAATTCAGTTTCCGTGCCCGGCGGAATGAAGCAAATAGCTTTCTTATATTGAAGACTGCAAGCCAGTCAGCTCATTGCGGGTCCCATAGACCCACCTGCATGAAAAACAACTGTTCCGACCCCCGGCGGAATGAAGTAATTACCTTCCTTATATTGAAGACAGTAAGCCAGAGACAGCTCATTGCTGGTCCCATAAACCCACATGCCTGAAAAGCAAATCAGTTCCTGCGTCTGGCGAAATAAAGCAATTAGCTTCGTAATATTGAAGGCTACAAGCCAGTCAGCTCATTGCGTGTCACATAGACCTACCTGCCTGAAAAACTCAATTCAGTTCCCGCGCCCGGCGGAATGAAGCAATCAGATTCCTTATATTGAAGACTGTAAGTCAGAGACAGCTCATTGTGGGTCCCATAGGTCCACCTGCCTGAAAAGCAAATTAGTTCCCGCGTCGGTCGAAATGAAGCAATTAGCGTCCTAATATAGACGACCTCCACCTAGGGAGTACAGTACCTTGACGTGGTGGTGGATCTTGTGTGCCCCCGTGAACCTGAGGGCAATGCCGGCGGTAGCGTAGCTACTGGTAGGGCCTCCTTTGCCGGACAGGTCGAAGGAGAGGGGTCAGACGAAGAAGTACTCCAGAAGAGGAGACTGGCGGTAGAAGAGGCCCCAAAGAAGAGGACCTAAACGAAGAAGAGGAAGTTCCGACGTAGATCTTCGGCTTCGACATGGCGAGACTGTCCTCGAAAGGGTAGGTGGAACTCTTAGCCCAGCAAAGGCAATCCGCCAAGGGTCGGTGGCCCAAAATACTACCAGCT